GCTCATGGAACCATCTCAAAAATTGATCACATAATTGGTAACAAAGCAAACATCCATAGATACAAAGAAATTGTAGTAACCACCTGTGTACTATTGGATCACCATGGAATAAAGTTAAAATTCAACAACAATTTCTACCCCCAGAAAGCCTACAAACTCATGGAAACTGAACAGTCAACTACTGAACTACCCCTGGGTCAAGGAAGAAATAAAGAAAGAAATTAAAGTCTTCCTTGAATTCAATGAAAATAAAGACACAACATACCCAAACCTATGGGACACTATAAAAGCACTGCTAAGAGGAAAGTTCATAGCACTAAGTGCCCACATTTAAAAAAAGGGTGGAGGGGAGAACACTCACGTTAGAGACCTGACAGCACAGCTGAAAGCTCTAGAAAAAAAAAAAAAAAAAGCAGACGCATCCAGGAGGAGTAGAGGATGGAAATAATCAAACTGAGGGCCGAAATCAACAAAATAGAAACATATAAAACAGTCCAAAGAATCAATGAAACAAAAAGTTGGTTCTTGGAGAAAATCAACAAGATTGATAAACCCCTATCCAAATTAATCAAACAGCAGAGAGAGAACACGCAAATTAATAAGATCAGAAATGAAAAGGGGGACATAACCACAGACACAGAGGAAATTCAGAGAATCATTAGATCTTACTACAAAAGCCTGTATGCCACAAAATTGGAAAATGTAAAAGAAATGGACATTTTTTTAGATAAGTACCATATACCAAAATTAAATCAAGACCAAGTGAACAATTTAAATAGACCTGTAAGTAGCGAAGAATTAGAAGCTGTCATCAAAAACCTCCCTACCAAAAAAAAAAGCCCAGGATCAGATGGTTTCAATGCAGAATTTTACCAGAACTTCCAAGAAGACCTAATACCTATACTCCTTAATGTATTTCACAAAAGAGAGACAGAAGAATCATTGCCAAAATAGTTTTATGAAGCTACAGTTACCCTGATACCAAAACCACACAAAGACTCAATAAAGAAAAAGAATTACAGGACAATCTCACTCATGAACATTGACGCAAAAATTCTCAATAAAATACTGGCAAACCGAATCCAAGAACACATCAAAAAAATTATACATTATGATCAAGTAGGCTTCATCCCAGAGATGCAGGGCTGGCTCAACATACGCAAATCTATCAATGTAATCCATCATATAAATAAACTGAAAGAAAAAAACCATATGATCATTTCATTAGATACTGAAAAGCATTTGACAAAATTCAACACCCCTTTATGATAAAGGTCTTGGAGAGATTAGGGATACAAGGTTCTTACCTAAATACAATAAAAGCTATATACAGCAAGCCGACAGCTAACATCAAATTAAATGGAGAGAAACTCAAAGCCATTCCACTAAAATCAGGAACAAGACAAGGCTGTCCACTCTCTCTATACCTCTTCAATATAGTGCTTGAAGTTCTAGCAATAGCAATAAGACAACATAAGGAGATCAAGGGCATTCAAATTGGAAAGAAAGAAGTCAAACTTTCGTTATTTGCAAATGATATGATAATGTACATAAGTGACCCCAAAAACTCCACCAAAGAACTCCTACAACTGATAAACACCTTTAGTAATGTGGCAGAATACAAGATCAATTCCAAAAAATCAGTTGCCCTCCTACACACAAAGGATAAAGAAGCAGAGAGGGAAATCGAGAAGCATCACCTTTCACGACAGCCACAAAGAGGATAAAATATCTTGGGGTAACTCTAACAAAGGAAGTGAAAGATCTATTTGACAAGAACTTTAAGTCTTTGAAGAAAGAAACTGAAGAGGATACCAGAAAATGGAAGGATCTCCCTTGCTCTTGGATTGGGAGGATCAACATAGTAAAAATGGCAATTCTACCAAAAGCAATCTATAGATTCAATGCAATCCCCATCAAAATCCCAACAAAATTCTTCACAGACCTTGAGAGAACAATAATCAACTTTATATGAAAAAACAAAAAACCCAGGATAGCCAAAACAATCCTATACAATAAAAGTACTTCCAGAGGCATTACCATCCCTGACTTCAAATTCTATTACAGAGCTACAGTAATGAAAACAGCTTGGTATTGGCATAAAAACAGAGATGTTAACCAATGGAATCGAATCGAAAACCCGGATATTAACCCACAAACCTATGAACACCTGATTTTCGACAAAGGAGCTAAAATTATACAATGGAAGAAAGAAAGCATCCTTAACAAATGGTGCTGGCATAACTGGATATCAACCTGTAGAAGAATGAAAATAGACCCATATCTATCACCATGCACAAAACTCAAGTCCAAATGGATTAAAGATCTCAATATAAATCTGACCACACTGAACCTGATAGAAGAGAAAGTGGGAAGTAGTCTGCAACACATGGGCACAGGAGACCACTTCCTACATATAACCCCAGCAGCACAGTCAATAAGAGCAACAATGAATAAATGGGACCTACTGAAACTGAGAAGCTGGACAGTGTCCAGCAAAGGACACTGTCATTAAGACAAAAAGGCAACCTACTGAATGGGAGGAGATCTTCACCAACCCCGCAACAGACAAAGGTCTGATCTCTAAAATATATAAAAAACTCAAGAAACTAGACATTAAAACTCTAATTAACCCAATTAAAATTGGGGCACTGAATTGAACAAAGAATTCTCAACAGAAGAAGTTCAAATGGCCAAAAGACACTTAAGGTCATGCTCAACCTCCTTAGCCATCAGGGAAATGCAAATCAAAACAACTTTGAGATACCATCTTACACCTGTCAGAATGGCTAAAATCAAAAACACTAATGATAGCCTTTGCTGGAGAGGTTGTGGAGAAAGGGGTACACTCATCCATTGCTGTTGGGAATGCAAACTTGTGCAACCACTTTGGAAATCAGTGTGGCGGTTTCTCAGGAAATTTGGTTTCAACCTACCTCTGGATCCAGCAATTCCACTCTTGGGAATATACCCAAGAGAGGCCCTATCAGATAACAAAAGTATATGCTCAACTATGTTCATAGCAGCATTGTTTGTAATAGCCAGAACCTGGAAACAACCTAGGTGCCCCTCAGTAGAAGAATGAATGAAGAAGGTGCGGCACATATACACTTCAGAGTTCTACTCAGTGGTAAAAAACAATGACATCTTGAATTTTGCATGCAAATGGATGGAAATAGAAAACACTTTACTGAGTGAGATAACCCAGACCCAAAAAGAGGAATATGCTATGTACTCACTTATAAGTGGATTCTAGCCATAAACAAAGGACATTGAGCCTATAGTTTGTGATCCTACAGAAGCTAAATAAGAAGGTGAACCCAAAGAAATATATATAGTTATCCTCCTGGATATTAGAAGTAGACAAGATCACTGGGCAAAAGTTGGGAGCAGGGGGTAAGGGTGGGTTGGGGGGAAGGGGAGATGGGGAGAGAGAAGGGAGAAGGGGAGGACTGGGGAGAGTTTGGGGGAATGGGATAATTGAGATGGAGGAAGGATGTCTTAACTAAGGGAGCCATTTTAGGGTTGGCTAGAGTCTTGGCTCTAGAGGGGTACCCAGGTGTCCAAGGGGATTTCCCCAACTAGGTCCGTGGGCAGCAGAGGAGAGGGTGCCTGAACTGGCCTTCTCCCATAGACACACTGATGATTACCTTGCATATCACCATAGAACCTTCATCTGGCGAGGGATGGAGATAGAGACAGAGACTCACATTGGAGCACCGGACTGAGCTCCCAAAGCCCAGACAAAGAGCAGAAGGAGGGAGAACATGAGCAAGGAAGTCAGGACCGCGAGGGGTGTGTCCACCCATGGAGACAGTGGGACTGATCTAATGGGAGCTCACCAAGGCCAGCTAAACTGGGTCTGAACGAGCATGGGATCAAACCAGACTCTCTGAATGTGGCTGACAATGAGGGCGGACTGAGAAGCCAATGATAATGACACTGGATTTTGATTCCACTACATGTACTGACTTTTTGGGAGCCTAGTCTGTTTGGATGCTCACCTTCCTAGGATGGGGGGGTGGGGGCTTGGATTTCCCACGAGGCAGGGCACCCTGACTTCTCTTAGGACTGGAGAGCGAGGGGGCGGTGGAGTGGGGAGAGTGGGAGGGAAATGGGAGGATGGGAGGAGGTGAAAATTTTAAATAAAAAAAAAATGTGTGCTTGCTTTGGTAACACATGTACTAAAATTGGAACAAAACAGAAGATTAGCATGGTCCCTGCACAAATATGACATGCAAATTCGTGAAGTGTTCCATATTTAAAAAAAAAAAAAGACTTAGAAGAAATTCATCCAGGGAGATGGCTCAGTGGTTAGAGGGCTTGCCATACAGGTGTGAGGACTAGGGAGCTCAGATCCCATATGCAAATGGCCCTTCAGTGATTCCAGTGCTAGGGGGTGGGACAAACTGGCTAACTAAACTAGCTTTATCAGTTAGTTCAACTAAGGACCTCTGCCTCAAACAATATGGTAAAAAGCAACCATTTACACCTGTATGAGAGATAGAAAATCTAGTTTCTCTATGGTTTAAAAACTAATAGGTGGTGGTACATGCTTTTAATCCCAGCACTCAAGGGAGGTGGATCTCTGAGTTCTAGACCAGCCTGGTCTACAGAGTGAGTTCTAGAACAGCCAGAGCTGTTAGAGAAACCCTGTCTTGGAAAAACAAAAACAAACAAATAAAACTAATAGGAATATAGACCTGGAACTAGCTCTTGTAGATCAGGCTGGCCTTGAACTCACAGAGATAATTCTGACATTCTTAAATCTATAAAAGTAAATGTAAGCCGGGCGGTGGTGGCGCACTCCTTTAATCCCAGCACTCGGGAGGCAGAGGCAGGTGGATCTCTGTGAGTTCGAGGCCAGCATGGTCTACAAGAGCTAGTTCCAGGACAGGAACCAAAACCCTGTCTCGAAAAATCCCCAACATAAATAAATAAATAAATGTAAAGCCTAAAAGAAAGGAAAATCAACATACAGAACTCACAAAGATGGTTACCTGGTAGTCCGGTTTTGTAAAATAATCCAAAGAAGAAATATGATCAAGAAAGGTGCTGAATTCGGGAGGGAGGTGCTTCAGCATGAGCCGATGGTCATACCTCTCCTTAATGGAACCTACTTGCTCCTGGAAGAGAAAGAGAACAGGAACCAAAGTCAACATCTCTTGAAAGCTATGATTACAAGCACAGCCAGCAATCTCAAGGGAATGTACCAGGCTGTGGAATAAAAGTGGTTTAAAGTACAAACAAGAATAAGTGCTCACTAATGGCTTACACACAGTGCTTTCGAGTGGGAAGGGAAGACTGAATAATGCAGAGCAGACAGAGAGATGTGGAATCTGCACCAGGGAACTAAGTTCCTTTAATGGGTTACTTTCCTTTACCAGCATAGCATTTATTTTCCAAACAAAATAATCTGATAATTGAAAACTAAAAGGTAAACTTCACATCAGAGAAATGTAGTTCTTATAAAATGTATCTATTCTCAGTAGACCCAGAAAAAAATAATATTAATTATCTAATAACAGCCCACAGAGAGGAAAAGACATATTGTGATGCAGTAAAACTGCTTATAGATTTTAAGTTTCATATACAAGTGGATTTTCTTCTTGTTTTTTAATTAATTTATTTTTATGAATACAATGTTCTGTCTGCATGTATGCCTGCCCACCAGAAGAGGGCACCAGATCTCATAGATGGTTGCTGCTGTGAATTGAACTCAGGACCTCTGGAAGAGTAGCCAGTGCTCTTAACCTCTGAGCCACCTCTCCTGTCCTGTGAATTTTCTTCTTTAAAAATTTGAAATAGAGTTTACAACTAAACTGATACCCAAATGCAAAAATTATACACTCATGAGAGGGATTATGGATTTTTTTCATTTTGTTTTTTTTTTCCACTGTCGTTTGTAGTGCTAGGAGTTGAGTCCAGGGAGTGACAAATGCTCAGGATGCACTGTGCCACTGAATGACGTGCACATCTATTCCACATGATAACTCAGCACACAGAGGTCTTATACTAAGTATATTTTCAACAAAAATGATTACTGAGAATTTTTATTTTGTTTTGTTGTTTTTCAAGAATGAGTTTCTTTGTGTAGTCCAGACTGTCCTGGAACTCACTCTGTAGACCAGGCTGGCCTAAAACTCAGAGAGATCCACCTGCTTCTGCCTCCCAAGTGCTGGGATTAAAGTGTGTGTCACCACCGCCCAGCTTGAAGAGAAATTTTTATTCTTTTCCCAACCAAAACAGACATTACAATTCCAGATTACCTTGTCCTTTATTTTTCTCCAAGGCAGCTGGCCAACCACAAACTCTACCAACATGTAGAATAGAGACCAAAGGTCATCATGCCTTCCCATTTCCTTGAGAAATAAGAAAATTCGGTCATGTGACATTACCAATTCTTCTGAGAGCATTACATTGTTTAAAGTCCACCCATTAATTTCCCATCATCTGATAAACATCTACATATCAAGTTACATATCAATCCATACGAAGAATATATATATATATACTAAGAAATATTTTGATATAAATAATACACTATTTGGAGATGTAGTTCAACAGTAGAGTAATTCACTGCATGTGTGAAAGACCCTGGGTTATGGGCTGGAGCGATGGCTTAGCAGTTAAGAGCACTGGTCCTGAGTTCAATTCCCAGCAACCACATGGTGGCTCACAACCATCTGTAATGAGGTCTGGTGCCCTCTTCTGACCTGCAGGCAGAACACTGTATACATAATAAATAAGTCTTTTTCTTTTTCTTTTTTGAGATAGGGTTTCTCTGTGTAGCTTTGGAACTTGTCCTGGCACTCACTCTGTAGACCAGGTTGGCCTTGAACACAGAGATCCGCCTGCCACTGCCTCCCAAGTGCTGGGATTAAAGGCGCTTGCCACCAATGCCCGGCTAAATAAATAAATCTTAAAAAAAAATGACCCTGAGTTATATTCTCAACACCACAAAAAACATCCAACACCAAAAAGCAAAAACAACACAGGGCTGAGGATACAGCTCAGTTGGTAGAGTAATTGCCTAGCATGCACATGACCCTGGGTCTGACACCCAGTACCTCACTGGGTGCAGCAGTGCACGCCTGTAATCCCAGGATTTGGGAGGGAGAAACTGAGGGACCAGAAGTCAAGGCCATCCTTGCTACTTAGTGAGGGTGAAGCCAGCCTGGGACGTAAGAAATCCTATTTAAGAATGAACCAATAAATAAAATAAACCCCTAAAATCCACAAATGTTGAAAATACAACTAACAATTTACTAACTAATAAATGCTTTAAGGAATAAGAGATAGGCAGGCTTGGTGGCGCATGCCTTTAATCCCAGCATTCAGGAGGCAGAGGCAGGCAGATCTCTGTGAGTTCGAGGCCAGCCTGGTTTACAAGAGCTAGTTCTAGGACAGGCACCAAAGCTACAGAGAAACCCTGTCTTGAAAAAACAAAACAAAACAAAAAAAGAAGTAAGGATAATTAATGAGATTGTAGCTCAATGGTAGTCTGCTTAACTACTCGGGGGAAAAAAAACCCTAGATTTTATTGCCAGCACTGAAAAAAAATTTTTTCATACATACACATACACACTCTGTTTTTGTTATTTTTTTGTTGGTTTTTATATAGGATATCTCTGTGTTACAGCCATGATTATCCTGAAATTCATTCTGGAGGCAGAGAGGCAGGTCAATCTCTGTGAGTTCGAGGCCAGCCTGGTCTATAGAGAGAGTTCCAGGTCAGGCTCCAAAGCAACACAGAGAAACCCTGTCTCAAAAAATAAATAAATCAAAATAGAAAAACAAAAATTAATTCTCTCTTTTTTAATATTTATTTATTTGTTTGTTTATTTGTTTATTTATACAATATTCCGTCTGTGTGTATGTCTGCAAGCCAGAAGAGGACACCAGACCTCATTACAGATGGTTGTGAGACACCATGTGGTTGCTGGGTATTGAACTCAGGACCTTTGGAAGAGCAGGCAATGCTCTTAACCACTGAGCCATCTCTCCAGTAATTAATTCTAAAAGTCTTTTTTTTTTTTCTTTTAGTTAGAAACAAGAAAATTGCCAGGGCGGTGGTGGTGCACGCCTTTAATCCCAGCACTCAGGAGGCAGAGGCAGGTGTATCTCTGTGAGGTCAAGGGCAGCCTGCTCTACAAGAGTTAGTTCCAGGACAGGCTCCAAAGCTACAGAAAAACTCTGTTTCGGGCTGGAGAGATGGCTCAGAGGGTAAGAGCACTGGCTGCTCTTCCAAAGGTCCCGAGTTCAATTCCCAGCAACCACACGGTGGCTCACAACCATCTATAATGAGACCTGGTGTCTTCCTTGCCAGCAGTACATTGTATGCTTAATAAATAAATAAATAAATATTAAAAAAAGAATTAAAACAAGCAATAGTTTTTTTTAAAAAAGAAAAACTCTGTCTCGAAAAACCAAACCAATCAATCAATCAATCAAGAAAATTGCTGTTTTAGCTTACGCTATTTATTGCTTTTGTTGCAATGTAGGGTTTTAATCAAGTCTTCCCACACTAGTCAAGCGCTTTACCACTGAGCTACATCTCCTTTGGAAGATGCTCCTTGTTACAAAAACAAACAGCTTGATGTACAGAAGTTATTACATATTATAGAAGTCTCTATATTCTGTCAGATATTGTTTTTTTCATTGGTTTGGCATGTCTGTGTGTGTACATGTCTGTGTCCTTATTTGCTATGGTAAACGTGTAGAGATCAGAAGACCACTTGCCAGAGTTAGTTCTCTTCTTCCACTATGTGGGTTCCAAGGACACTCAGATTGTCAGGCTAGCTGGTTAAGGACCTTTACCTGCTGAGCCATTATGCTGGACCCAACCCACAAATAATTTCTTAGAAAAGAATCCAGATATTTTATTTCTTCAAACATCTATATTTAATTTTCAACACTAATACATGATTAAACAGACGCATTCCCAACAGATATACTTAGCTTTTGCCTTTTCTGACAAATACAACTACATTTTTTCTGTAGCTGCCCATATCGGTCATCCACTATACATCTTACCATAAATTAGTATCATGAATTCCTTTACCATCAGCATTACACAAAACAGTAAATTAAAATGACTATTTAGGTAGCTATAAAAGGGACCCTCAACTCCTAAGCACTTTTCATATCTCTGAACTAAAATATGAAGATATCAGTCTGATGCAAGCTAGGAACACACAGTTATGACAACCTGCATCAGACAGATACATACCCTGTTCCGATGAGCATTGACTGATGCATAACGAACTGTCCCTCGAAAGCCTGCCACAGCACGAGGCTACAATAAACCACACAATCATAAGAAAATAAATAGCAAAAAATTTAACACAGGAAACACATGAAGCAAATGTAGTGCATTACTATCATAATAAAACACGACTTATAGTAATTTTTATAAAGAGATTATAGAAAACTAGAGAAGGAGTATTTCTAAACCACAACTTAAAACACTGATGTTTTAATTATCTTGGACTTGTTTTCTTCTATCTGTTATTTCTATTTATTAATTTGTTTCTCTCTCTCTCCGAGTGTGTGTGTGTGTGTGATGTCAGGGTAGGGGATGATGAACCCGACAATGTGCAAGTGGATGTCAGAGGACAAACTTTGGGAATTGATTCTTTTCTTCAACCACATGAGTCCTGAGGACTGAACTCAAGTCATCAAGCTTGGTGACAAGTGCCTTATCTGCTGAGCCATCTCACAGGCTTATCTATGTTTTAAAGTATGATAGCATAATATGGTCATTGGGCTTGGGAGATGGAGCTCAGTGGCAGCACAACTGCCTACCACGTATAAGGCTTTGGGTTTGATACCAAGGAACGAACACACACACAGCCCAAATGTTTTTATGAAATATACACAGCTCTGTAAATTAGAAGAATCAAATGTTTTCATTGACCCAGAATCATGCCAAGTACCAAAGTATCATAGTACATACATTAATGCTTATGCTTTGGTTACAAATAAATGTAAGAACACAGAGAACCACTATATCATTTAAGATGCCAATCTCACCATATTTTGTCTATTTTATTCAAACTTAATTTGAAAGAGGTTAGAACTATACTTACATGCCGGGTAGTGGTGGCGCACACCTTTAATTCCAGCACTCGGGAGGCAGAGGCAAGCGAATCTCTGTGAGTTCGAGGTCAGCCTGGTCTACAAGAGCTAGTTCCAGGACAGGCTCCAAAGCTACAGAGAAACCCTGTCTTGAAAAAATATGTATGTATGTATGTATGTACACACACACATATACACACACACTCTTACATGCATAAACAATTTATGTTAAAATTTAAATTTTGGATACTTAGTTATTCTAGGTAATAGAGATGAAGCCAAACATGATCATAGCCTCAGACAATATAACACCAAATAAAGTCCACACGCTACTTGGCTTAAAAGACTTTCTATACCTTGCCTTCTCATAGTGAATCTACTATAGTTTCTTCTATCACCTTTTTTTTTTTTATCTAGTTCAAAACCAAGACTGCTCTCTCCTCTTGCCCAGCTTGACTAAAGCGGCTCCATTCCAAACTGCTGAAGTCAAGAACACATGGCTAGCCTCCCCAGCAGGGTCCACCAAGGGCTCTCTTTCTAGAAGGAGCAGGACTGGAGCATTCCCACCTCGCCTTAGCAGCCTGCTGATGAAGGGACAGAGATGTGTGTGGTGCACTGCCTCTGACAGACTTTCTCCTGACATGACTCTAGACAGACTCCCTGAAGTCTCTTCTAAAGTTGGGCTTGATTAGGGAGCATCTTTGTTTGTCTTTGCTAGTCCAGTTTTGACAAAAATCTCTGAGTGTCAAATCCCCTGGAAATGGAGTTACAGACAGTTGTGGGCTGTCATGTGGGTGCTGGGAATTAAACCCAGGACCTCTGAAAGAGCATTAGGTACTCTTAACCACTGAGCCATCTCTCCAACCTCGGCAAAAACCATAAGAGGTAAGTTTAGGTGGTGGCACATGCCTTTAATCCCAGTCCTGGAGGCAGAGGCAGGCGGATCTCTGTGAGTTCGAGGTCAGCCTGGTCTACAGAGCTAGTTCCAGGACAGGCTCTAAAACTACAATGAAACCCTGTCTTGAAAAACCAAAAACCAAAACAAAACAAACCCTCTACTTGGACATTTGATCAAATTCCTTATACCCATATCTCCCTAGCTCACCACTGCGGTGCGCCTTAGCATGACTACCTTCATATACAAATTCACCAGAGAAGAACTTTCTATGTATCACAAAGTTACAACTCATGTTGAAGGGACTCTAGCCAGTCCAAGCCTGGCAAACATAGCTCTGGCAGGCCTTACTTTTCTCCCTCATTCCCTCTGCCTTGCTAAAAACACCATTAAATTACATTCCTAAAGCTAGCCCCCAAGGTTGGCCACATCCTCCTCCTAAGGCTGACTACCAAGGTACAGCTATCAAAGTATTGAAGTTCAGCAATCAAAAACTCCTTTTAGCTACCCTAATTAACATGTCTAATCAAATTAAACACCTCATCCTAACATGGGCATGGGGTTTCTGCTTGTACCTTTATAAAATACCAAGTTCCTATGTGCCACATCTGTCTCCTTTTATCCAGAGGCAGTCAGTCCCTTGTCATCATGTCCATCTGTCCTTTGTGCTCCCCATTCCCTTGTTTCCTTCCCCTTCTCCCTGGCCCTCTATCTCCTGTCTTTGCCTCTAACCACCTGCCCTTTGTCACTCTGTGTTGAGAACTTGGTCTTGGGGTGTCTTGAGCCTATACTAATCCCTTTAACAACCCCTACTGATTATATGTAGCTAACTCTAGACACTAGTTTCTTAATCTTGTCAACTACTGATCTGATTTCAATAAAACAAACATCCATTTTTTAATTCACTGAGCTTTATCCCCCTCCTCCTAACATTAATTCTGATACCTAATTAGCATTTCTTTAAAGCGATAATAGAAATAATAGTTAATTATCAAGTATTAAACAGTAATGAAAAAACTTACTGGTCTGACATCACCACAGGAATTGGTAAATTGTCGGGCCAAGCCAAAATCAAGCATGAAACATTTCCTACATGTACTGGGAAAGCGTCCCATTGCGAAGTTTGACTAGAAAAAAATAAAGATGGAAAATACATTTTCTTATAATAGTCTCACCTACATTTTATGCTGCATGAATTCTTCTAGTCTATATAGCACATTGCAGATACAGTACTGTAAGTTTATAGTTTTTACTAAGCACTAATATATAGTATAATTTAGTGGCTGGTTCTACCTCTCAAGGGAAAATTAAAGCTTTTCATAGTGGAGTATCCTTATAAATACTATTAGTAACTTGAGAAAGAGCTGTTAATGTCTCTACCACCAGGAACACTAAGCAAAAATAAATTTAAATGTTTGTACAGTTATATATAATAACAACCAAATTAAATTCAGAACTAGAATTCTTTGAAATTCTAGTTTAAGTTACTGCTTAAATGACAACCCAAGCTCCTAAATGAGGAAAGCTAGGGATGGGGTAAATACACATAACATAAAAGAATTTTTATTACTTTTCAATCTTTTAGTTAAGTATAAAGGCTGGTCATGGTGGCGCACACCTTTAAATCCAGTATGAAAGGCAGAGGCAGGCTGATCTCTCTAAGTTCAAGGTCAGACTCGTCAGCAAGTTCCAAGTTAACACTGTCTTAATAAACAAATAAATAAAGGAATTTCCTATACGTATCATAAAGCTGAATCTCACTAAAATTAAAAAATACAATCCAGGAAAAACATTCCAAAACAATCCTAATGAGAAAATGCTTTACATTTTTTCTCTTTAAAAAAGAGAAATCAGTGTAGCCAGATATGATGGCATAGACTTTTAACTCCAGCATTCAGGAAAAAGAGACAAGACAATCAGTTTAAGGCCACCCTGAACGATACAGCAAGATCTGTCTTGATATGTGAGACCCTGCCTTAAAACAAAACATAAAAGCCTCAAGCCTAAAACCTGTGTAATGTGTTGTGTCAAGTGACTTAAAGTTTGGAAAGTTAGATATGCAAATAAAAGAATTGCAATGGTAAAATTCAAGCTACTGTTCACTTTTTATTTTTTTATTTTAATTTTTTTAAATTTTTTTATTGAAAAGAAAAAAAAAATTTCCGCCTCCTCCCAGCCTCCCATTTCCCTCCCCCTCCTCCCGCCCCTCTCCCCCTCCCCCCACTTTTCTCCTCCTCCCTCTCCAGTCCGAAGAGCAGTCAGGGTTCCCTGCCCCATGGAAAATCCAAGGTCCTCCCCCCTCCATCCAGGTCTAGGAA